AAAAGTTTTTCTGGCTTTGAGGCTGGCCCTTTTACTCCATGCAGCTTCTAGTTTGATGAAGGCAGTTAAAATGTAAGCACCCTGAGGGCAGGACTGTTTGCTCTAATTTCATTGTATCTCCCTCTATAGCACAAAACAGATGCTCAATAAATATGGTTGAGTGAACACTCACTTTGTCCCAATTGCTAGCTATACTGCCTGCCAAGGTTTCCACAGTCCTTCTCCTTACAATGACCAGAGGGGAGTATAATTATTCCCACTTTACAAATAAGGAAACTGGGGCCCAGAAAAAGCAAAGTGACTTGTCTAAGAGGAACAATAAATCATTAAGTGCTTATATGGCAGGCACTGTCACAGGTGTTGAGAATTAAGACAAAATTTAATGTTTTTGCTCTTATAGAACTCACTCTCTATCTAGTAAAAATGAGAATTAGTAAAAAGCAAGATGAATAATGGGGGAAAAAAAGATGGTAAACAATCTAAATGATTCGATCCTGAACTATTTTAAACCAATAATTGACCAAAAAAGGAAAATAAGCATCAGAAATGATATTGACACCAATTATAATGCAAAAGTTTAATCAATGTAAATTACCAAAAGAGCCCAGAAAATCCCTTAATCATCAAACATTTTACTTGCCAAGAAATCATCCAAAGGCAAAACTGTTAAGAATAATGATGGATGATTATGAACACTATTTTCTCTCCATGCTGAGAGAGGAGAAACCTATTTAAAGAAAGCTTTGCAAGAGATCCAAGTAAGCCAAGTCATCCCTAGAGTATTTAAGGATGAAAACGGAATGAGAACAATCAGAAGAAAAATGACAAAGATTTGAAAATATTTTAACAAACATTTTTCCCCCCATCAAGGACACTGGAACCACCAATACTTGGACCCTGACATTGCATTCCCAAGATGACATTGTTCACAGAATGAAAAAAGCAGTTTTTAAGTGCTTAATATATTCAAACTATACAGAGAAGACAGAAATAGCACTACTGAAGAACCAAGATGGGGAAAACAGCTAGAATGAACCCATGCTAGAGGGGACACATAACTGTGAGGGTGTGGAAGGATCTATATACCAAAGTATCTGATGCAGAGAAGTTACCAAAGATGAGGGAAAATCACAGACCTTATTAATATAAAAACAAACAAAACAAAACCCACAACACTATCAAACTAGTGACCACCTGATTACTCTCTCATCTCTACAAAATGAGTTATCTTAAACACAAAATGAAGGCATCCTAAATGAGAGAATGAATAGGGAATGAGTGGACTTTCATAAGTAAAATTCATTTCACAACTGAAAGATGTAGAGAATGTAAGATCTCACTGCACTTTTTGACTAAAAACTAGAACGCTCTTCCAGAATTCATCTTTGCCACTCCATATATCAAATTTATTTAAAATTCCTTAATGATAAGGGTTATTACTTTTTGTATTTTTTGTAAATTATAACAATCCTCTTGAATTGAACTATCCTCTGATTATAAATATTAGGCAAGGGATAAGAGGGGGAGATATACGCCTGTCAAATATGTCCTCCTTTAGAGAGCCCAAGCTGAAGCGATTTGATGTGGATAGTTAGTTTGTCCAAATGCTTTTCTTAATAATGACATTATATTGTTGCATTAAGCTCCAGAAAACTGAAAAGCCTCTGGAAGAAATCTATAACCACCCAAAGATATGGTTTTGACCATCTACACAACAAAGACTAAAGTGGATGCAGAATGTCTTATCCAGATTATGTATGGTATGCACTTGGGTTGACAATCTAAGACTTGTGCATTAGTACACACTGATGGACAGACAAGCTGAGTCCAGAGTTGAATCAGGGGGAGTACAGCACACTGAATTACCTTCTAGAAATCGACCCAAATGAGTACCAAATCTAATTAAAGACAAAGCTTTCTGAATACCAACATACTGCTAAGCATTGCTGTTTGGCAGTGAGAGGCTGAATAAAAATGAATGTCATAAAGATGATGGAGAGGCACATGATCAGTGTGAGCAAATTAATATATAACCAATATGGAACTTCAAAAAAGAACAGGCATAAAAGATGTAATCAAATAAACAGGAAGAGATGGGTACATATTAAGGCAGGAAGCTAGAGTGCTCCACTGGTATCCTTGTCTGGTCAAGACAAAGTAAGAAAGGCTTCCAGGACACTGGGTTACATCCCTTTTGTGCTAAACTTTTGGGAGGCCATGGACAAGACACACATCAAGCAGATGGGCTGCGATCTAGATCACTGAAGGGAACTTGCACATTGGTGAGCTAAGAGATTCATGTAGTAAGACAGAAACTTCTAACTTGAATACTCTAACAATGCAAGGGGCAGGAGGGAGAGGGCTGCCTTATTATACACACTCAGGTCCCATTATTTAAAATGTGCACAGAGAGGAACCATGATTAATAAAATTTTATCAAGGAGGTTTTAAAAGAAAGTCTCCTATGGGTATAGAAAGATAGGAAAAGAACACTCAAATGACCACAACCTATTTCTTTATTAGGAGGATGGTATCCCTATCTTACCTAGACTAGAAGTACAATGGCCACTCAGGGGCCCAATCCCATTGCTGAGTGACACAGAAGCTCCATTTCTGTGCTGATTTACCCCTCTTTCAGCAGCCTGGTCAGCCCCCTGTTCTCAGAGGCTCACCATATTAGTGCAGAATTTAGTTTGAATGCCTGCTCAGCTTTAGTTCTACTGCAGCTGAGAATTCCCAAGCTCAAATGATCCCCCCAAGCCTCAGCCTCCCCACTTCAGGTATGTTCCATGATACCAGGCAAGATTTCCCAAATTTCCTAGAGTAGCTCTCTGGAATATTACGAAGAGAATGAGAGTGAGATTACACAGCCATCTGCTTTCATTTCCTGAATTAACAATCATGGAAACAACAAAAAAATGCAATATCCACAACCAGATTCTCTCTTCAATAGAGCAAACACCTGTGTCTGTCTATGTTTTTATCCTCATGCCAAAGAAATGCCATGAAATACCTGACACATCTTCACAACAACTAGTGTTGACTTTCTAAAAGTTAAACCCACTCCCCCTTTACCCAATACTCCTTGCCAGCTCTTTCAGAACCTTACTTCCCATACTAAAAAAAATGAATCATGGCAATAATTCACTCTTCAAAATATTTCACAGATTATTTGATCCACAAACCAGATTATTACTACTGACTTATTAATGATGGAACCAAGAAATAAGCTTGCCTGACCTAGGTTGAGACTAGCCCAGGACTGTTGAACCCTAGGCTCCACTGTATTCAAGGGCACAAATAAGAAATTTAAACAATTTCAAACTGGTGACCTAGACCCTCACAATCCAAGTCATACAGGATCAGAACAAATGGTCACCCTTGCCAAGAGCCACAAGACATAGGCTGGTTCTCTTTACTCTAGCTAGCAGCCCAAGAAAAAAAAAAAGCAAATTTCTTTCATTTGGAGCGCAGCTTCATAAGATTTTGAATTATAAACTGAAAGAGACCCTTAAGCTCAACATCCTTGACACCTTCCCCCCAAAAAAGTTTTACAGATGAGGAAACTGAGGGCCAGAAAGGTTAAATGACTATCAAAGGTCACACAGGTAATAATAGTGATGGAAATCAAGTCCATACTCTAGTACTTCCTCTACTACACCACCCTGCTTCTGTGTGTGGGAGAAAGAAATGAGCGTGCGTGCACACACACAGGAGGATCAGACCAAGGAAACAGCAAACAAAGCTCATCAGTGACAGCACATTTGCCCCTTCCCCTCAACTTAGGACTCTGGCCCCCAATCTCTTACCTCTGTATTTCCTTGATCCCCTGGTCTTGTGATATACAGGGTTGCACCTTTGTCCTTTTCCCCAGAGAGGGAATTCCAGGCATGTTGAGTTAGTTTAAAATTTTATTTTTTTTTTCTGTTTTTTTTTTAAATATTTTTATGTAATAAAAAGTAAAAGTCCTTGTCAACCATCCTTGTGGGGCATCTGTCTATGTGTCTGTCTCAGGTTAATGGGAAAGAAGAGTAGGGGAGCCCAAGTCTGAGGTTATAAATAATAGAAAATAAAAGATCTTCCGTCTCCAGCGGGGATGGGAGGAAATGAAGGGGAGCGGTAGGAGGAAGGATGGGCCAAGCAGGAAGCCTCCACTCCCTCTGGACCCTGGCCCCGCCTTTAGGTCCCTCCCCCCATCCTGCCCCCTACCCCATTCAAGGTGCTTGGTAGGAGTTCCCTACTCCCTCGTGGGGGTGGGCTGGGGAGGGGAGTGGAGGGCTAGAGAACTGGTCCGAGCTGCTGGGGGAAGAGACATAGGTCACTCCTCCCTCCACTCAAGGAAGTCTCTCAAGTGACGGCCAGGACCATCTTCAGTTCCCCGGGGGATGGAAGGGGAGCTGCTGGGAGGGATGAGATTGAACTGGTTGAAGGGGAAAGAGAAGAAATCAGGAACATTAGAACCTAGCCATCTATCCCTTAGTCCACTGCTGTCCAACTTCTTTAAAGCAGGAGGCCATTTATGTAAAAACAACAACCACAAAGTCCAATGTTAACTGGCCCTTTCAAATCATGTGCCTGTTTCTCAAGTTAGTTTTCATTTCTCACAGGCTCTCACTCCCACCTTTATCAGCCTCATTCCTGTCTTAACCCTTCCTAATTGGCATGCTAGTATAGCCACAAGTCAGGTTATTAGGTGACAAGTTCAAGGACAGACTGCAAAGAAAGGAGCAACAAACTAATCAAATTCAGGAAGCAGCAATGGCCTACAAACAAAATAAAAACCTTCCGCAGACCAGATGCAGCATACAGGTAACATCTATCAGGCAGTGCCTTCTGTCTCCCATTCAGTCCCATAGTTCTTTCTTGCCACCAGCCTACAATCCTTCTTGCCAAATTCCCTCACTCAACTGGATTTCATGAATCCTTTCATCTACCTTCCCCTCTTGTGTATTTATCCCTCCCTTCCCAGAAAGGCAAGTAAACATGGCCTGTCTGCTCACCTTGGTGGTGTCCGATGTAGGTGTAGGGTGAAGGTGTGGAAGCAGAAAGAGCAGGCACACCACTCTGGGGCACACCCCCCTGAGGTGGACCCCCATGGCTCTGGGGTGGGTGCAGCAGCATCACCTGGGGTGGGTGGGGAGCCCCAGGATGAGGGGGTGGGGCTGCTGTGATTCCAGTCTGGACATGGGCCTTCAGAAAAGAAGCAGATGTGAGGACTTAACAAGTAACAAAGAAAAACTATCTCAGACAGCCACTACAAATCATTGTCAGAAGAGAAAGATTCCTACGGGCTTGTTTTTCCACTCTGAAAGAGGAAAGATAGGAATACATTATTAATGAAGGCTACTCGGAGAAAACAGATTTGGAAAAGGAATTTATGATTTGGGAATGACCATCGTGGCCCAAATAATGTAGGTCACGTTAAAAATCACAATAGGGGAGTTAGTGGGACACTCAACAAGACTAGGAAAACTACTCTGGAGGCCAAAATAATCAAGTCCTATAGTGTAAATATACTAGAGAGTGAGTCTAGAAAGTGTTATTTTGGAACAGTTACCTGGGTGACATGGGCCATATTGGTGAAGCCATGGGGTAGCTGCTGGTGGGCATGGATGGCATAGACTGCAGCTGGCTGAGGGAAGCTGCTCTGAGGGGACTGGGCAGAAGGTCCCGGTGGCAGAGATGGTGGTGTGCCTGTTAAGGCACCTGGATGGTACAAGTTCTGTTGTGGCTGCCCACTACCCAAGTGTGGCGGCTGCCCTGCCTGATGCTGTTAGAAGAAGAAAGAAGATGAGCTCCAAAGCCAGGCAAGCAGCAAACTACTTCCACACCTAGCTCTACTCTGCCACCTCAGATCCTAAACCCATTCTGATGGTAGAGCTATTCTCCATCTCTCTTTCTTCCAAGTTCTACCTCCATCATTTTATAACCCAAGAACTTTGCCTCAACTCTTATTCCTCTCCCACATCAGGCACCTGGACAGGGCTGGGGGCCGCATGCTGGGACTGCGGCTGGCTCCCAGTAGGGGTGGTGGCTGGCTGCGGCTGGTGGGCATGGAGCTGCGTGGCGTGGTGTGGATAGGACTGGTGAACTGTGGCTGCAGCAAGAAAGAGGGAAAGAGAATCAGCAGAAAGAATGCATGAAAAGGGCAGGGAGCTTATTTCAGGATAAAGAATCTAAAAATTTAAAGGACTTACCATAAAGGGCTTGGGGAGTGGGCTGCTCTGCTGGAGGGTATTGAGGAGTAGAAGATGAGACTATGGCCTGGGGGTGGCTGCCTGACGTCAGCATCCTTGGGTTACTCTGAAGCATTGGGGCAAAGACAGGCTAGAAGATAGGGAAAGAAGGGAGTCTAAGGGAAGGTTTGTGTTTCCTTCTTGATACTTTCTATACCCCTGGACAAATCTCAGCTTGCATGTGATCATATCACCCTCCTCCTCCCACCCCGAAATCCTCCAGAGCCAAGAGTAGGGTGGAAGAACAACAAACACCTAAGAGTATATTCTCTTACATTGGTCACATCCCCAATTACCTGTGAGGGATAATGGGCCATGGGCTGCATCATGGTAGGCTGGCCTGGGAACTGCTGGGGATTGTAGGAGATATAGGAAGAATATGGTGTGGCTGCCACCAAAGGGGGCCCTGCAGCTGCCGCCGCCTGCATAATAGGGGGTGCTGAGGCTGGCTGGTGCTGATCTGAGCGTTGGGGAGGCAAGGAACCTGGAAATATGAAGTGAGACACCTTAAGCTCAGTTAACAGGGAAAGAAAATTAAAGTTAAAGGCTGGATAGGGTATTTCTAGTTCGCTACCAATTAATGACCCAATAACCCCCCCCCCCAAATCCATGAGAACAACTCACATGCTGCTGCATGGTTCAGACCTCCTTTCCCCATTCTTACCTTTAGCTCCCCGGTACTTGCCCTGCTGACCAGGCACAGAGTTAGATACAGGGTATGGGTACATCTGAGGAGCCTGTAAAGATCAACAGGACTAGGGCTGTGATTCCCTCTTAAATCATCCAATCAGAACTGTTCAGGTTCTTTCTTCCCAGATAGCAGTGACAAATCTTGAAGGTCACACACATGTTTGCTCTCCTCCCCAACCCCCTTTTCACTTCTCACCTGCACGGCTGGCCCCATGTGGATCTGAGGTATATAGGAGATGTACTGGGGGCTATACATCCCACTCTGGCCTGCTGTCAGCACTGGGATTGAAGGAGTTGAATGAGTCCGGGGACCTGGGGAAGTTGGGGTGCTGGTTGACTTGTTCTATGACAAACAAAAGGCAAGGGGAGTTAAGAGAAGATAACACCACTTCCCTAACTGCTCTAAGTATATAGCAGGCAAATACTTGCTGACCTGAATAGTGAGCCACTCTCAGGCCTACCAATTACCGTTTATCACTTCACTCCTTTGCCCTACCTCTATTCTCAACTATCCAACCTTACCCTATATATATATTCAAGTATTATTAAAATACTCTGCCTCTATGTTTCCCATAGATGTTTCCCCTTTGACCCTTCTCAACACTGACTACTTCCAGGTAAGGAATAAATGTTATGAACTGCTATTGACCCAGACTGCCCCCTCGCCTATCAGAGAATTCTTTATCCTTGTCCTCTCTCAGATTTCAAAAAAGTCTTCTTTCTTCTGCCCCCATCTTACCACAGACAACAGAGGTTTTGAAGGGTTGAACTCCTTGGCATTGGGGTTCAGTGTCGACTTCTTCACTTGACTAGGAGAGAAACCCAAGATTGATAATATTAAGTCTCTTACTGGCTTAATACCCCCAATCTTTCTGTATTCTTCCTGTATTCCTTCCTTCTCTCCCCTCCCCCCAAGCTTGTTACCCCAGATCCCCATTCCACTTACTCAGTGACAGGCCCCTCTTCCTTGTCATCCCCCTTGCTGATGCCCCCAGGAGGACTGCCCATTTGGTTCTGTCGAGGTGTTTGGGATTGCTCTGGTCCTTCAGACCCTCCTGTCGAGGGAAGAGACAGTTTTTCCTCCTTATCAGGTGGAGATTCTGTTTTGGAGGAGCCAGAGGACACCAGAGGCTCTGGAGCCAGAAGACCCTCCACCTCCTTTTCCTTTCCTTTGGCTTCCACCCCACCCTCCTTGGGTCCTCGGGGGGAGAAAGGGTCCAGGCTGGTCTCAGGAGAACTGCTGGACTGCAGCTGCAGATAAAAAATACACATTAAAGTACTTTGTATTTGCTGCCTGCCCCCCCAACTCCTGTCTCTAATTCTCTTCAAAATCATTTCTACCTTACCCTCTCCAAATTTTTTTGCCCTATTTTTGTCTTTCCACATTCCTCATTTGCAGTTTCACCCTCCCAAATCCCTTTGCCCTATCCCCATTTCACAACTCACTCGCTTAATTCTTCCAATCCTCACCTTAAACTGAGCCCCAAATTTCTTCAGTTCTTCCAACTGGTAACGTTTTTGTTCATTCTGAAGGCCAGGGGCTATGGGTGGACAATGGAAAAGGGAGTAAGATATCATATGTCCCCTACCTAGAATTATGGCCTTAAGTGCAGAAACTAGGGAAAAAAACAAAACAGAAGGAATCTTAAGGGAATGTAATGAGATATACTGGAATGGAATTCTTAATAGCTCTCATCCCCTCCCCAATATTCTTAAAACATATTGGAAAAAAGTCACCTAACATCCAAGGATGAGAAAAAAGACACCTAATGTTCAAAGATGAGGAGGCAGAAACTAATTTTCACCTTTCCCAGCTATTCGGGCTAGCTCTGGTGGCTCCAGAGTTCTCCCAGGTTCCTTTTGGGGTAGTTCTTTTCCTTATCGAAAAGAGAAATTAAAAAAGAAAAAGAAAAGAAAAAGAAAAGATATACATTATAAGACCCAACCAAGGACCAACTAAGTCTTGCCCTTCTCTCTTCCCTTAGACACTCACTATTCCCCTTACCATCATTAGGAGCTGTAACCTTTGGGGAGGTTGGGGAAATGGGACCAGCTCCAGGTTCCATAGCTGACGAAACTGGAGGAATAGAGGCTGTAGAGGTGGGAACTGAAGAGCCTACAGGTGGCTCAGGACAGGAAGCTGAGGCTGGGGCAGGAGCAGCTGACTTAGGGGAACGTGGGGGATACATCCGACCAACTACCAGAATGGGAAAAAAAAAGTCTTTATAGTCAACAGGTTAAACAAAAGATCTGGACACTTAAGTAAGTACCTACAGGAAAGCTACATTTATTTTTCACTTTTTCAACAAATATTTATTCCCAGGCCCTGGGACCCAGAGCCTCATAAATACACATCCCAAGAAAGCAGAATTCCGTATTATTTTATACTCTCTTCTCAATGCTTTCCTGGCATTCTTCTCCCATATTTCTCTTTAATCCCATCCAGGACACTTTTCACAACTTATTTTTCTCTCTGTCTCTCTCTCAGTTTTACTTCCTTACATAACACATTCCAGAAGTCTTACCTGTGGTAGATGGGACAGAGGTTTCTCCAGGGGGTCGGCTGCTAGGGGAAGACATGGTCTTTGCACCTCTAAGAGGCCTCTGGGCTTTTGGGGACATGCGGGAAGGACCTAAAGATAAGAAAAATGATCCAGCAAAGATGGCAAAGAGTTACCAAGGAATAGCACTAACATTTAACTACGCTTTTGGCTCCATTTCAATACCACTTTCTCGATTCCCCTTCCCCTCCACAATCCCAACTCACCTCCATTGATGCCACGGGGCTCAGGACCAGGACTGGGACCACTGCTGTCAGGGTGGTGGGGGCCACCCCGAGGGGGCAAGGAACCAATGCCAGGTCGACCTCCCCTGGAGCTGCTGCATCGAACTCCTCCTCGGGGGCCTCCCTCTCGCATTCTCTGGGGCAGAGGGATATACTTCCCTTCCCTAGAAAAAGGGAGCAAATGAAGTTAACAAAAAACCCAAAACCAAAAACCACTGAGGGGTTTTGTTTCTCTAAATTGCTTTACCAAGCCTTTTACCTTACTTTTTTCTTTCTTTCTTTTCTAACAACCTTCTTTTTCTAATTTCCTTTCTGATACTAAGGATGTCTGTTTCAAACTAAGACCTGTTGCTGCAAAGTTATGTATTTAACCTCACTCCCACAGTGGTCAAACCCTGCCAATCAGAACATCTGTTTTCTAAGCCTGTCCCAGTTTCCCACCTCTTCCCCCAACCCTTAATAATGTACTGACCTGGACACTAAACTGGGACTATCACGACCTGAGCCCTGTCGCTGCACAGAGCTATGCTTCTCCTCCTCTGTCCGTCCATCATCATTCTCCATAGCAATACGTAAACGGTACTGGGGACTGGACTCTATTTCTCGGGCCAGTTGGGCTGCACGGAGCTCTCGCTGACGAAACTCCTCTGAGTTGTCCTTCTCCAGGGGGACCCTAGATTATTCCCCACCCATAATCCATCAAAGTCACAACATAAGAGATGGAGGAGAGAAAAAACAGGAAAAAGAAAACAGTAGTAAGATCAGTATCAAAAGTGGTGTTTAGGTTTCTACCCCTTTGGACAGACTCTGTTTTGCCACCTCATTAGTTGCCCTACCTCCTATTTCTACCTCTGGAGAGTGTTCAGAAACTCACGTATAAGAAGAGAGGCTACTGTCATAAGTTGTTTTTACTCCATAGTTTTCCTCATTGAACTTGAACATTTCATTGGGGTCCCATCCATTAGACTGCAAGGGGAACAAGAAAAAGAAGACATGTTAAGGGAGAAGAAGGAAGGGGAGGAAATGAGACCACAAGCTTTAGGAAAGAATCAGTAACTTTACCCCCACGATACCTCTTTTTACAGATACCATCTTAAATTGACTTTAAGCCCACACTGATATAATATGCCCACCAACCCACAACCCTACCAGACTCTTGGACTGTAGAAACCCTCAAGAGATATACTGTACCATATCAGATTCAAGGTCATAGTCATCACTGTTGCCATCACCCCCTTCCCAGCGCTGTAGCACCTTCTCCTTGTGTTCACCATTCACCTTTGAGTTCATGGCAATGGCAGAGTCTGTGAACTTGTCTATGGGAACAGAGTTTGAGAACAAGAATTACACGAGGTCTCATAGACTTCCTTTTACCTCTCAAGAGAAAGGGCAAAATGCGGATGCCAAGTCTGGGAATAACAAAGCCTCAACACAACCCCACTCTTTTTTTTTTTTTGGGGGGGGGAGGCAATTGGGGTTAGGTGACTTGCCCAGTATCACACAGCTAGTAATTATCTGAGGCCTGATTTGAACTTAGGTCCTCCTGACTCCAGGGCCAGTGTTCTATCCACTGAACCACCTAGCTGTCCCACAACTTCATTCTTCTTGAACAGGCCCAAAGAAAAGAGAACTCAGAAGAAAAAAAAAACATTCCCTCATGCTGCTACTTTGGGCAGCAAAAAATAGAAGACAAGAAACATTACCCTCTCCTCCCAACACACAGAGAAGTTCCCCAGCATATTATTACCCTTAGTGGCATAATTGAAGTCAACGTTTCGGAAGTGAACCATCATCACATCACTTGACTTAAACACCATGGTATCCACAATATCCTCTCGACGGGGACCACCTGCTGGCTCAGAAGCCTTCCTATGAACCGCATCCACTGCTAGTTCAAACTGCAAGACCCACCCCCAAGGTCCCAGGGTCAACACTAGAAAAGGTAAATCCAGTCTGAGATTTCCCCATAAGTATGGAACTTGTTGTGGTACCCCACCTCTTCCTATCTCCTTCCTAAATATTTCCTATTACATGTCCTAACTCCCAATCTCTTCCTAACACCAACCATATGTTTTATGTAATTTTAACAATGAAAAGAAATCATGCTAGAGATAATTTAATATAATAATGCATACCTGCCCAGCATCAATAATACTTCTTTTTCAAAGCAACAGTGCTTATTATGAGGAAATATAAAGCAATTATAATAAGCAATGCTAGGCTGGGAAGCATCTGTGCAGAATGGTAGAATTTTTAAGACTATCTTTAAAACTGACTACAATGACTCTCCCACATATCCTCCTTTCCAACTGGTTCTAACTTCCAAGGCAGGCTGAGGAATACTTACCTTTGAACTCAGAGTCTTGAAAATACCTTCATATGTGGTACCATTTTTCACCTTTACATCACAAGTGGAACCCTGGCAGAAAGAAGGACAATTAAAGACTTCACATTATATTTACCTAAAGTTCCCATCAAACTACTTTAGAAGACAGATACATACCACAACAGCAGTAAGGAAGTGCAGCATCCTAGAATTATTGTAGACACCCTCAAATACCTGAAAATAACACAGAGGTGACAAATTGATGAGTAAAGGGAAGACAGATATCAAGTAGCCTGTCCTACCCTCCTATCTTTCTGACACTTCTTTTGCCGAATGATCCCATCTATTCCTGCTTCACCCTTTTATATCCCTGAATTTGACTACTGGAAAGGCACTCACAGGTGATGGTGGGGGCCCCTTTCCTGTGCTCTGTCCCCTATAAGAGAAAACAACAAAGACATTTTTTAGTTAAGTCTGCCCAACTCCCTCCTACATCCCTCCCTACAAAGGGGCAGGGATGTTTAACCCAACATAAAACAGAGAAAAATGGTCCACTTCTTTTATAGGAATAAAGAAAGGCTGGGTAATAGATGTCCGGCACAGGGCAATGAAAGCCTATAAATCAATATAGCCTTCCGGCTTGTCCTCATCTTAAAATGGCAAATAACTAGAGGAATGAGATGTATCATTTTCACCTCAAAACCCACAGCCTAATTCTCTGTGAAACAAGAGATTAACAGGCAATCTTCCTGCAGGTCCCCCCAAAAGTCAAGGGAACAGAGATAAGGGCTTAAAACACCAACAAGAACAGGGAACCAACGGTCAAACAAACCAAGCACATGGAGTCGATCTAAGACTAGTCAATATAAACCCATCACCCCCATAGAGAGGGCCAAAGGCATCTTTAGCAAGCCCCCTAAATCGCCCATGGAAGACAATTGTCTCCACCCCTACGAAAAGCCCATTACCCATTCTGGGGAGAACTAACCGCCGTTGATACCAGGGTCCTCACAGGCTGATGTAACTGGCCGTGGGGGGGGGGGCCGTTTGGCGGGGTGAGGGGATCGCGCAGACGCAGACACTATCTACAGGGAGGCCTCACCCATTCAGCGCTTGCGCACTAAAGCCCTCAGCTTCCTTCACGCTCGCTCGCCTTCCTGCCCCTAGAGCGCCTGCGTACAGCCTCAATAAGGTCCACGAGAGATAAGTGTGGTCCGCCAAGCTCCCACCCCCGCCCTGACCTTAGAAACAGCCAGCCGAATATTGGACTAGACCGTGCCGGCTACAGTCATTCTCACGGAGCTGCCAGGAGAGCTGTACTAACACCCTGTCATAAGACAGCACCTTCTCCACGCGCACGTACTGGGGTGCGCGCGCGCACAGGGGGTTATACAGGGTCTGCAGTTCCCTCCGGGCGGGGGAGGGCTGGGGGGGGAGGCGCAGCCTATTTCTTCTCTGCCCATTGGCCCAACTGTGGACTCCACGCCCCCCCAATTGGCTATAGCTAGGGACCCCTTCCCGCCTCTTCCCACCCATTGGCTGAGCTTTGGGACCGCGAGACCCTTCACATCAATTGAGCCGGGGACCCTACTCACCTTTACCTCCCTCCTCCCCCTGCCCCCGCCATTGATAAACCCCCTTCAACACAGACACTGACACTCACTCATGTGTGTGTGTGTGTGTGTATATGTGTATATACACACACACACACACACACACACACACACACACATACACACATACGCTCTCTCTCTTTCTCTGCCGCTCGCTCCTCCACAGTCTGGCACTGCCTCCTCCTAGGCTGGGGGTGGGGGGCATTCCATCCCGCCTAGTCTATCCCTCCCCGTTCAGAGAAGGCAAAGAATTCCCACCTAGTAGAGCCCCCTAGGGCTAGGCTCTCTTCCCCTGAGCAACCGGCTTATTGGCAAAAGGGCCACCCCTTTCCCCCATCATGCCCCACCATTTAGCCTGACTTAGAGACCCCTCTTCCCCAAATGGGATCAAATGAAGGATCCCCCACCCTGCACTGGTTCAACTCAGGGACCCCATCTCCTCTACTGGCCAGACCATAGGGGCACACGCCGCTTCCTCTTTCATCCCCATTGGCTAAGCCCAAGAAGCCCCCGCCGAACCCCTCCTGAAAGTTGGACAGGGGACCCTCAGTGTTTCTCCCCCCGGCACGACTGCAGCCCACCGCCCAACCTTAGACACTGTCTCCCTTCCAAAGTGGCCGAGTCAAGGGACTCCACGGGCTTTCCTTCCCGCCCCTTCCTTGATGGCAGACAGACGTCTACCAACAAGCAGGGGGCCCTTGGCCGTCCCACATCCCGTCATCCCCCCTCGTCCTGCCCCTTTTCACCTGGTACCGCCAGTAGCAGCGCCCCCGGGCCGCTCCTGAAGCTGATGTGTTGGCGGCTGTGGCGGCAGAACCCCCTCACCTCCCCGGCGGATCCCACTGCCTCCGCAGGAGGCCCTAGGCCCGGGGAAGCGGCGGTGGGTGGCCCCGGGGCCGAGGTGGAGGCTGGGGTCCCCCCGAGGCTTCCGTTGGGGGGGCTGGTCCCCCCGGGAGGCCGGCGTGCTGGTGCCGGTTGCTGGATGGGTGTCTGCTGGGGCTGAGATGGCTGAGGCGGCTGCGGCTTCAACATGGTGGCGGCGTCCGGAAGGGGAGTTGGGGGGGGTAGGACGGGGCTGGGGCCGGGCCCGCCCGAGCGCGCGGGGAGTGAAGGGGGTTGGGGAGAAGGGGCGCCGCCGTTAGCGGGTGGGGGGGCCGATGTGTGAGGGATACAAGGAGGCGGCGGCGCGAGAAGGCGCCGCGAGGCGGAAGGGGGGATCTCGCGGGCTTGAGGAAAGCGAGAGAGAGGGCGCGAGCCGGCGCGCGTGCGCGAAAGAAACAGTATAAGGCGGGGGGAGGGCGTTGGAGAGTGCGCGCGCGTATGAAAGCCCTTGGGAGTGAGGGACGGAGAGAAGAGACGCACTCACACCTAGGCGGTTAGCTCTAGGTTAAGAAAGGAGGAGGAGGAAAGAAAAGTGAATTTCGCGCTCCTAGCACACTGGGAAAAGTCGGAGTAGGGAATGGAAGCTGGGGTTGGGGGAGGGGGGGTGTTGAAGGAAGGGAAAAGCGCACGCGCGCGAAGCATCGGAGTCTTTAGCGCGCCCCGTGACCGCCCGCTCGCCGCTGTCGCTTGACAATGAGCGTGTGAAGCACTGGGGGAGGGGCAAGAAAGGAGACAAGCTATAGGCAGCTACTACGCATGTACGATTTCCCTGCCTAGTAAAGCCAGCGCCGCATGTGTAACGTCACAGTGCGACCGTGCAATCCCTGATCCTTCCGCCTTACCGGGACTCATATAGGGCTCCGTTTGAGGGCAAAAAGATCCGGGGATAGTATTGACATTTCCTATGCATTAAGGAGCCAACGTTTATTTGTTCGCCCACGGAGAGTTCATTTAGGCTTTTGCTTCCCGTCCTTTCAACCCGCTTATTATCATTAACAACTACATTAGCGTCTTAGATAAATTCAAGATAAAACTATTTTTTAAAAAGTTTTGTTCCTTTATTAACAGCTCCAATAAAAAAAAAAGGGGGGGTTGGTGAGATTGTTTCTTGAAGCTACTGGTTAATAGGTAGTTTCATCTGTTATAAGAGCAGTTTTCTACATAATTGTTTCGAAGTATGCTTTCCTCAGCTGATGGAACAAGACCAGTCAAGTCATCAAGGCTCTGGAGGTCACCGAGAAAGCTTTTCGTGAAGATAATCGTTCAGTCTCCCATTTAAAAGGAAACCTGCCAGTTTCCTATGCTTTATTACTCCATCCTCCCCACCTTTTCTTAGTCAAACTGGAAGACTAAACTGTCCCATACCAGGGAAATGAAGGCATTGTGGAAAGGGGATGTAGCAGGAACCACAAGTATGTTGACTACAACTTGGTGATTCCTTAGATATAAATGGAATTAAAGGAAGAATTGGACAAAATCATGTGTGCCAATCCCTTCATATTTAAACCTTCTAAAGTCTTTAAGGCCCATCTTTATGTACTGATAAAGGAACAAGAAGAGTGAAGGAATGGTATAGTGTCACTATCACTATAAAGAAGTATATATGTACACAGCTTTTAGCATTTTTCATCCAAAGAGTTTAATGTAATGGGGTAATAACTAAGGTTTATAACGATTTAGAACTGCAACCCACATATATTTCCAAGTGTCCTAACCTTGAAAGCTAGAAGGGAGAGTGATGGCAGCAAAGAAGGCAACAATATAGATATACACAAATGTGCCTTCTCCAGATAGTTACACATAAAGGCAACAGTCACATCCAGAGATAAAGGAACTGGAAACATTTAGGAGCCTAGGGCAAACAGCCAATTCAGTGACAATCTTCATTTAGATTTTCTTCTAAACAATTTGAATTTGCAATTAGACATTTTAGATTAATCTGTTTAGAGCTGGAAGAGACTTTAAAGGTCATCTAAGTCTACCCCGACTAAAAACACACACATATACAGATGAGGAAAGTGAGGACCAGGCAGACAATGTGATTGGCAGAGGTGCTACAAGATTGGAGACAGGCAGATATCCAGACATTCAACAAAGAGAATAGAATGGAAATCTGAAAACATAGGCCAATGAATCCTGTTTCAATTCCTGGCAAAATCTAGAACATATTATCAAAGGGATAACTGGTAAATGTCTAGAAAGCAGCGATTCACAAAGTGTCAGCGTGGTGTTGTTGAGAACAGGTAATACCAGACTAAACATTTCTTTTTCTAATAAGGTAATTAGACTTGTAAAGATGAGGAGTATATCATGCACATAGTTTACCTGATTTTAGCAACATATTTGAAAATGTTTATCATGCTATTCTTAAGGACAAGACAAAGAAATAGGAGTAGATGATATTTAGTTGGGTGGATTCAGGACTAGTTGAATAACTAGACCCAAAGGGTAACCATTAATGTTTAAGTGTTACTTTGGACGAAGGGTCTAATCAAGTGTCCCAGAGAGCTATGGTTAGCCCTGTGCTGTTTAATATTTTTATCAATGATTTTGATAAAGCCATAGATAGCATGCTTACTGAATTTGCATATAACAAAATGGAGAGTGATAGCTTCTAGGGCTCAAGATCCAAAAAAATCTTAGGTTAGAATACTGGGTTAAATATGATAAAGTAGGGACAGTTAGGTGGTACAGTGGATAGACCACCGGCCCTCAAGTCAGGAGGACCTGAGTTCAAATGCAGCCTTGGACCAAACACTTGACACTAACTGTGTAACTTTGGGCAAGTCACTTAACCCCAATAGCCTAAAAAAACCAAAAAAGATAAAGTCATTCTTTACTGGGTTTTGTGAACTTAAAAAAATTTTATAAATGTATTTTAATTGGCTTCCTTTGTAATCTTATATGTTTTGTTTTATGCATTTAAAAACATTACTCTGAGGAGGGGTCCGTACATAGAATGCCAAAGGGTTCTTGGTCTAAAATGCAAAAAACGTGAAGAACTCCTAGTCTAGTAATATGAAATTTAATAGGGATAAATATAAAGTTTCATACTTGGGTTAAAAATATCAAATCCTTGAGTGCCAGATAGAGAAGGCAGAGCTAGACAGCAATTGTTCTGAAAAAGATCTAACTGCAAGCTCAATATGGCTCAACAGTGGGATACTGGCAAACAAACAAAAAAAAAACCCTAATGATCTCTGAGGCTGTAGTGAGAGGCAGAGTACCCAGGATCAGGGAGGGTCAGGACATCTGGAGTACTGTATTCATGTCTGGACATTCATCTTAAGATCATGCTATGTAGACTGGTTGAAAGGAAGGTATAATCATGAGAACCTGAGCTGTCCTGAAGTACTCTGATGGGAGTCATGTGGAAGGACTGGACAGCACTAAAAGCAGTAGACGGAAGATGCAGAGGTAGATTTATGCCTATTGTAAGAAAATCTTCCCGACAAACTCATGAGAGCTTGTGAAATGATCTGTCTGCCTCAGGAGGTAGTGGACTCTTCCTTTTTTGATGTCATCACACAAAAAGTATTCTTGTTTGGGGTATGGTCTCTGAAGTTGTTTTCCACTCACCTTCTGTGAATACTGGGTTAGGAAGTAGGGCCTCTAAGCTGGTTTTTCCCCATTCATGCCTCCTTCACTCTAGCCAAGAAACATTTCTTGAATGTGCATTTCATGAATGGAACATCACACAGAGCCCCAGGGAAGGTGGTAAGGTAAATCACTCTCATTATACTTACTAAGCACCCATGAATAAGTCAGGTAAACAGTTTTAAACTTGTGGGAATGATGTATGGGACAGATTATCATTTGGCAAAACCTTATCATTCATGCCAAGTTATAAACAAATATATCTGAAGCAATCAGGCAGGTGGGTGCTAGAATGAATCTCAAATTCATGCAAAATAATGGAACCATCTCCTTCACATCAGGAGATATAAAGGGTGTCTAGGGTCAAAAACTTAAATGTTAACTACTGTGTACTCAATTACCACGGACTGGGGACATTTCCTAAGATTATCCTTCAATAATTACATTCAGTCCCCAAATCCCTCAATCTCTGGCCTAAAAAAGAAAGACACTAGGCTGTTCCAGCTACCTAAAGTCACTCGATGAAAAGTATTTTAACTTTTCTCCATGATACCTTCCCTGCAACCTATGTGGCAAGGTTCTATAATTTCAATTCCAGCTTTTTCTTTTTTTTTTTTTTTTGGCATAGCCTTCCACCCCTTTCTCAAAGGATGCATTGGCTTCCCTGCCCCATGGCTCAACTGGCTGAATCCTTCACACACTAAGCAACATGTTCTCTCATTTTTTTTCCTCCTCCAAGAAGTATTAAGAAAAGAATGAGAGCACATCATCAGGCATTCTACCTATTTTTTTCTAAAACTCAAACTGACATCTGTCTCCCCCATGCCACTTCTACTCCCAAATAAGCTGCTCTGACATCACCAGAACCTCAAGAGATGAAAGACGGCCATTCAGATCAATTTATCTGGAACTTATGGTCACAAAGTCGGGAGGCACAGGGGCGGAACTTTCCTTCATATTCCTCCCTTGACTATTTCTGCCACTTAGTTTTCTGCCCCCTTGCCCTCTTCATCTGGGGCTGGATGATGTCTTCAGCTTGGAGAAGAACCTCTGTCTCCGACTGCCCCTGGGGATTGTTCTGAAAGATCTTCGTCTGTCCTCAATGGCTGAGTATCAATCTTTCCACCTGAGGCCCGTCCCTTCATCCCTTCATATCCACTTGGGATTTGCTCCATGGCCTCTCCTTCCCCTCCTATGGGTCTTGTTTCATTTCCCCCAACTTCCTTAGAGACATGTCCTTCAGTGGCTTCTTCATCCCCTCTGTGGACCTGTGCTTTAGCATCCCCTCCCTGGGCCTGTCCTTCAGCATCCCTTACCTCAATTTGTCCTTCAGCATCCCTTTCCTCAATATGTCCTTCACCATCCCCTCCCTGGGCCTGTCCTTCAGCATCCCTTCCCTCAATTTGTCCTTCACTATCCCCTCCCTGGGTCTGTCCTTCAGTTCTTACTGCATCTGCCTTCTGAAATTGTGTCTCAGTAGACACTTCAACTTCTTCCAGAACCTGTCCCTCACTCTCTCCATATCCTTCTAAGTACTTTCCCTTACTTTTGCCTGTCTCCATCAGGACCTGGCCCTCCCCATCACTCTCTAATACCAGGATCTTATCCTCAGTCTTTCTACATTCTACAGTGATTTGTCTCTCCATCCTCGCATACCTCACTTCCATCACCCCCACAGTCTTTCTATAGCCCTGTATGAATCCAGCTTTTCTGTTTCCCTGAAGGATCTGTTCCTCAGACTCAGTATGCTCCCTTGGTAACAATTTCTCCACCTCCCAGTTTCTTCTAGAGAACTGGAAGTCAGATTTTTCTTGAGGTTGCTCCCTGTCCTCTCCATCTGCCACTGTCCGGACCTCTCCCCGCTCCTGCTCTTCTTCCGCTAGGCCTGGGTAATGTGTAAGGATGCTCAAATAGGGAAATTTCTCTCTACAGAAGAAAGAGCTCCCCATTCCAAAAATTCTAGGCCTTCTGGACTGCCTTGTCCTTTTTCACCCCCATCTTCTTCCCTTTCCCATCTTTTCCAGGATACTTAATTCTCCCTGTTTCATTCCTCCCATCTCCCTTCTTATACTTCTTGATTCCCCATTCTCCTTGCTCCCCATTCACCTCTGTTCCTCCTCATGCTGTGGATGATGGCAAAACCTAGAACAGTAATACCCAAGGTGGTGATCAGGATACTGCTAATTGATGTCCTATTGTTGTTCTGAACATCTTCCCACCATTTTTCTAAACAATGGAAGAAGAAAGGGAGAGATAACAGTCAGTTTCTTTACCTCTTGCTCCCCCATGTAGCCTCTATCTCCCTTTAATTTTCTCATAGATAAGTCCTAAGAATACAGACTTCCCCATACTTCTGCCTTTCTGCCCTTCAAATCCCTAAAAGATGTGAGCTTCATACCACTCATAACCCAGCTCTCCTTGACTTTAGGATATATATTTCTTTCACTGCTACGCTCTTCCCCCATTCTTTTTGTTTCATCATTCACAGTGACCAGAGATTCCACAATGGTTTGCCCATAACCTTCTCCCTCCCAGGAACTCTTTTCATCTCCCCAACATCTAAGCAATTTAGATCCCACCCCCTCATTTTACTTTCCATGTGCCCCCCTTCTATTTTATCCTACTACAGTCATATTTTTCCCAAAGTTCATTCACTTTTTCCTATACATTCCCCAATCTCATCCTTCTGCTATCCTAGTCATGTTCCATTCCCCTACTATCGACCTCCCAGTTGTCCTTCCCTTGTCTCTACAGTTAATCAAATATCCCTCCCCAAACCTTGGAGAATCCTCAGCATATATTGTCATGAGATCAAAGGACTTAGAGCTGGAAGGGACCTGAGAGATCATTTAGCCCAACCTCCTCATTTTACAGTTAAAAAACTGAGGTTCAAAGGAGTTGAGTTCATCCATGCTGGATTTCCCAGAGACACCAACTAGCATGAACAATCTGACTCCAGTGCTTTCCCACCACACTGTATGGCCTCCCAAGTTGCATTCTCAGTAATGACTTTCTGCCCTCTTGCTTCATACAGTCCCTGTAACTCCCTCACCTTCTTTGAACTCCATCTCTAATATCTGTTGCAGGGGATGTTCCAGAGCAGGGTGAGTCACATGACAGGTAAAGTTGGCTTCTAGGTCATGGGACTCCAGGGTCAAATTTAAGGTCAGCTCCAAATCAAATGTGCCATCAGGGTTTTCTGTGGGGGACCCCATAGGGATGGCCTCTGGTAGCTTCTGCCCATTCCTTAGCCACCAGGCCTGAAGGTCCCCTGCAGGGTAGAAACCTTTGATCTGGCACAGGAGGGTGGTCTTCTCTCCTAGAGAGACTTGGACTGGAAACAAGGAGATGTGGGGGGCAGCTAGAGCCATGTAAGGAGAGAGTAAGAAATACTAATATTAATGTTTGAATTGACTTGGGCTGAGACATAGAATTTAAAACACTAGAGGCAGGAAGTTGAATGAAAGCATAAAAGGGTTTTTCATTGCAAAACAAGGGCCACCAGAATGTATTAAGATATGCACACATTAGAGGGGCAGACCTATGGGCAGTGTCTATAGGATACTACAACTGTCTACAGACACAGATGAGGGATGCCTACGCCAGGTAGCTTCAGGGAACCAGAGGTCACAAGAGATAATTTTCACCAAGGTGCTGGCCCAAAGTGGTTGGAAGAAATGGATCTGCATGGCTAAATTCAGAAATATCAACGACAAACAAAACTGAAAGCAAAGGGTTTAGGATTAGGGGGATTACCCTTCCTTACCAATAACACTGAAGAGGCTCTCACTGTGCCGTTCTTCACCTCCATATCCCACACTGCAGCTGTAGAGTCCTGCATCCTTAGGCTGGGCTCTGAGTATTGTCAAGGAGGCATTGCCCAAAAGCAGCTCTGCCTCAGAAAAAGAGCCTAAGATTGTTAGCCCCCCAGACCCTTCACCCACATCTTCCTTCTCCTCTTCCTCCTTTGGTGGAAATTGGGCTACAAGTTGTCCCCCTGGTGCATACCAACGTATTGTGAGTGAACTCAATTCAATCACATCTCCTATGCTGAATCGACATTTAAGCAGTGCTGAAGAACCCACAGTCACCCAAGAGGAGGGCTCTGTGTAGATCTGCAGGTCGGAACCTGAAGAAGAAAGGTCAGAATGAGATAGGAAGGGACAGAGAGAGAAAAAATAGATCCAAAGATGAGGAAGTAACAGAAAGGTAGAAGAAGTAGGAGAAACAGAGATCCAAAGATGTGGAAGAGACGGAGAAAGAAAGTAAAATCAGAAGCAGCTCAGGGCCCCAAGCTTACACCCCCAAAGCAGACACCACAGTTGGTAAACAAACTTCCTAGCTGACAGTTTCAGGGACAAAATCAAAATGTGGGAGGAACGTTAGCCTAGGAATCAACATATGTTTTCTGCCTGGATATGCCATTGATTGGCAGTGATACCAAGGCTAAGTTATTTATCCTGAGTCAGTTTCCCCATCAAATGGAAGACAACTCTACCTCACAGAGTTGTTGCTAGCTTCAAATAAGATAATATTTGTGAATGTGCTTGGGAAATCACATCATAAGATAATTTTTTTATTATATACTAACTTTTATTCATTTAAATTAGGGCCAAGCTACTAAAGGATCTTCTGATTTTATATAATCAGAAGAACTAAAAAGGCAGCTGAGAGCATGAGAAAGGGGGAAATGTGGACAATGTATTTAGGACAAAATAAAGAGGTCTACAAACACTGTGAGGGCAGCTGACAGGACAGACCTGTCTCCTCTGTGGCCCTTCCTAGCTCCTAAGGACAATGATTACCTGAAGCAGAGAGTCAGAGGGTCCGGGTTCAAATGCCCAGACTTGGCTCCTGCCTTTGCTGCATGTGGGACAGTGGACTCATCACTTAACAGCTCTAGGCTTCCATCTCCTTCTCAGTTAAATGAGGTGTTAAGATTCTATCTAGCTCTAAGTCCATGATCCTATTCGCCAAACAAAAAAGGGAAAGAAATCTTTCTTCATGCCTCTCCTTCTTAGTAAGTACCTAGTATGAGGCAAAACCCTGCACTATGTGCTAGAAAAGACAAAGATACAGTGAATGAAATGTTGAGCTGGGCTTTGAAGAACAGGTAGGTTTTCAATGAAAGATGGAAAGGGAAGGGAATAAGCAAAAGCAACAAAGTTACAGGACATAATTTGCGTGGGCAGTGATAACTAGACCACTTTTGGTCTGAAGCAAAAGGAAGCTTGAAGCTCCACTGTGGAAGATTTGAGTACTCCTCTAAAGAACTGACACTTTGCTGCCAATTGAAACAGGCCAAAGGGAACCAGTGAAATGGAATGACAGACACCACATCTGGACCAGATCACAATCGATGTGGAGGATGGACTGAAGTGAGGCCAAGGGGGTTAGAAGGCTTTTGTAAGTCTAGAAGAGAAATGCTAAGGGCCTAGAATTAGAGGGTAGCAATAAAAAAAATGAAAAACAGGTGTTGGAGGTGGGGGCGGATAGGAAAACTATTTCCAAGATAAAATCTATAAGATTTGGTAACTGATTAACTGTAGAGGGTGAGTGCCATCAATAGCTAGGGAAATCAGGAAGAACAAATTTTATAGGTAAGATAATAAGTGTGTTTTTAGCTATGTTGAGCTTGAGGTCCTAGCATCCAAAAGGCAGATGTAGATTTTGATGTCATCATCCGAACCCCTTTCAATATGCCAGTTAAAGTGGTAATATTGGATGAAATCACTTTGGCATAGGAAGCCAGGAACAGCCTTGGGAAATGCCTTTATTAAACAGGCAAGAGAAAGAATAGGAATAAGTGAAAGGGATAAGAAGAATGGTCAAAAAAGTAGGAGAACCAGGGAAGTGTGGTGTCATTAAAGCCAAGGAAAAAAAAGATCAGAAGGAAAAGAATGAGTCCAAAATGTCAAAAACTAGAAGGAAGACTATGAGAGGTTGAAGACTGAAACAAAGACATTAAATCTGAAGAAAAAGAAGCCATTTCAGTCAAGCTATAACAGGTGCAGGATAGGTATTGGAAAGCAGCTGATCATCATGGCCAACTCTTTCCAGAAGTTTGGCTGCTAGAGGGAGAAAGATTTGTTTTCTTTCACAGGAGAGACATGCATATGTTTTATTCATTCAATTCTTATTAAACACTTAGTGTATGCAAAATATTGATAGATAAAGGGGTAGATACAATGTCTAGACAGGACATGGTTCCTGCTTTCATGGAGTTTGCAGTGTGGTAGAGGGATAAAACAAAAGCACAGATAACTACAACACATAGATGAAGCATTTATTAAGCACTTATAATGTGCCCTGCATAGTGCCAACACGCAACATTACATAATAATCATATCACAAAGATGCAAAACAATGCACCAAGTAAGGTGTAAGGGGGAAGTTTGTTACAGACAAGGGAAACCAGAAAAGGCTTCCTGGAGAAGGTGGCAACCGAGTTAGGCTTTAGGAGAGAGAAGACATTCCAGTTAAAGGGAATAGTGTAAGAAATGCACAGAGGTGAAAAAGTAGAAGGTATATTCAGGGAGCTAGTGAAGAAGAGTACATGGAGGGGAGTAATACTAGATAAAGCCAGAAAGACAGATTATGAAAAGTCTTGAATGCCATATATAAATTTGAATTTTACTCTTCGGGCACTAGAGAACCACTGAAGATTGCTAAGCAGAAGTGATATGTAGCAGAGCAGAAGCAGCATTAGAAGAGATGAAATTCCATCTGCTATTAGTATCTTCCCCTACTCTGGCTGCATAGGGGTATTGGGGAGCTTCAGCAAAAGAAAACTGCAGTGAGCTGACTGAAGCTGTTTGGGCCTATTTAGACAGCTCCCCTCATCAAACCCAGCAGCCTTGAAGTGGCTGCTCCTGCTGTTTGTTGCCTGGAATTACAGCTTTCTGTCACCAAAAGTGCCACCATTACTAATGGTTATCCTATAATGCAATTAACTCAAGTTCTACCTGGAACACACCATTAGTTAGCATAGATACCTTCACATCAAAATTCTAATTAGAACCTTTGGACTGATTTAATCCACAAGTTTCTTCATACTTGGTCATTTCCCCTGACCCTCGATAACAAGTTTCTGTGTCTTGCTCTGAATTGCTTGGACAAAAAACTTTTCTCTGCAACCACTTCCTCATCACTATCCACTTACTATTTGACCTCCAGTTCCATCACTCTATCTGGAACCACTACTCTCTCATCCCCTTTTTATGTTTTATTGATGCTTTTAAAATGTCACTGTCATTTTCCAATGACTTTCCATCTGCCTCTTCAAATTTTCCGATGTAATGAATAATAATCAAGAGCAAAATAAATTAAGACGTTGGGTAAGTCTGAAAACATGTCCTGTTATACCCATATTCTACTTTCGTTCTCCCAAAGAAGTAAGAATCTGCCCCCCTAATCCAATCCTTACAAAATTCTCCTTCATCCAAGATCTTGTCCACTCACACTTTTACCATATTCTACTGTAGACACCTTCTCCTATACTGGCTATTCTTTATTTCATATTCTCTGACATACAAAGAGAGCAGAAAGAACTGACTTACTCCTTGTTCCCCACTAATACTGCTGGACTCTCCACCATCATTCAGCAACCCAGCTTCCTTTGGAGTTAACTCTATCCAACTAGAGCACTCTGTCCAAATCCTTCTTGCTGCCATCTACTGATCCAGGCATTCTTCCTTCTTTCTCAATGAGTTTCAATACTTGGCTTACAATTTTCCCTCTCTTTCCGAGCATCTGGCTGTCTTATTTTTGGTGACTGCAATATTAACATGAACAATCTTTTACAATGACCTCCAAGGTCATCAACCTTCTCTTCAACTCCTCACATCTTCTACATCATCTCTTTCTTAGCTATCCAAGTCATGCTCATACTTTAGACTTCAGTATCACATATAATTATTCTCCCATAATCCTGAATTTTGAAATTTCCCTTCCTGAAATTGAAATAGTGTCCTTCCACCTCTCCTACTTCTAATCCTGCTCTTTATTCCCACCAAGACCACTAGCCTCCTCATCCCTTCCTTTATTCCTAAATCCATTCATCTTACCTTGGCTTTTCCCCCCTACTGAAAAACCCCTCACCATCCTACCTTTTGCTTCCCAATCTCTGTGATTTGCTGAGGTAAAAATCCATTTTCTCTGTTACCACTTCTCAATTACTACCCAGCCTATCCTCATTTGGCTTACTCCTTAACTCTCATGATCTGACTCCTGACTCCATTGTTATACTCAAGACTTTCTCAAAGCTTTCCCTTAACAGTTTTTTAAAAATTGATAAATATATTTCCCTCCTATCAAGGGTCCATGCCATGCAACAGAGAAAAAAAAATCAGTTCAGTAAAAACCAACATATCGACACATTAATCAAATCTGACAATATATGCAATATTCTACAGTCATTGTCTCCCTCCTTTGCAAAGCAGAGCAAGTACATTTTTTTGACTCTTCTTCAGGGCCAAGTATTTCGGTCATGACAGTTATGCTCATTCAGGATTTTTTTGGTTGTTATTTCCATTTACATTATTGTAGTCAACCAGTGACCTCTTGTTAAATCCTATAGCATTTTGTCATGCCTCATTTTCCTTGACCTTTCTGCAGTTTTTGACACTGCTGACCAGCTCCTTATCTTGGATGCTGTCCTCTCCTTTGGTTTCTATGAATGTCACTGTTCTCTCTTCTTCTTCTATCTGTGTGACTATCCTTTGTTGGTCCAGCAAATACATCCTACTCCATAAAGCATAAATATCCCTTAAGATTCTGTCCTAAGTTCTCCTTTCTTCTTTTCTTTTTTTTGGCTTTTTGATGAGGCAATCGGGGTTAAGTAACTTGCCCAGGGTCACACAGCTAGTAAGTGTCAAGTGTCTGAGGCCATATTTGAACTCAGGACCTCCTGACTCCAAGGTCTGCTCTCTAGCCACTGCCCCACCTAGCTGCTCATGACTTATTTGCTAAAGTCATTCTTTTTTTTTTTTTAATGCTGATGTTTCTTAAATCTCTACCTTTACTACCCTAACCTCTCTGTTAGCTCCAATCTTGCATCTCCAACTATCTTCACACATTTCAAACCAGACGTTGAATAGGCATCTTAAACTCGGTATGTCCAAAGCAGAACTCATTATCTATCCCCCTAAGGCCTCCCCCCCTTCTCTATTACTATAAGAGGGCAACACCATCCTTCCAATCCCTCGGGCCTAGGAATCATCCTGTATTCCTCACAATCTCTCACTCCCCATATTCAAGCAGTTACCAAGGCCTGTTGATTTCACCTTTGCAACATTTCTCAAATACACCCCCTTCCCTCCTCCAATGTCACCACAACTCTAGCTCAGGCCTTCATCACCGCACACCCAGAAAGCCTGCTAGTGGGTCGTCTGCCTCATGTCTCTCTCACTCCATCCTGCATTTAGTCATTAAAGTGGTGTTCCAGAAACTGGTATGATATCAAGCCTTACTCAATAAACTCCTGAAAGCAGGATCAAATGCAAAATGCTCTATTTGGCATTCAAATCCCTTTAGAACCCAGCCCATTCTCCGCCCACCCCCCACCCCAATCTTCTTACACCTTACTCCCTGACACATATTCCTTGACCCAGTGACACTTGCTTCCTGGCTGTTCCACACACAAGACGCTCCATTTCTCTGGCTGTCCCTCATTCCTCGAATGCTCTCTTTCCTCCACTCCACCTACTGACCTCCCTGGCTTCCTTTAAGTCTCAACTAAAATTCCATTTTCTACAGGAAGCCTTCTCCAGTCTCTCTTAATTCCAGTGCCTTCTCTCTGTTAATTCTTTCCTATTTATCCCATATATAGATTACTTTGCATATATTTGTTTGTATGTTGTCTCTCCCATTAGAGTGTAAGCTCCCTGAGGGCAAGGATGCTCTTTTGCCTCTTTTTGTATCCCTGTAGCTTAGCACAGTGAATGGCACATAGCAGGTGCTTAATGTTTACTGACTGATTGATTCTCACAATTTACCTTGCCACACTACAAGAGTCCAATTTCTCATCCACTCTCCCTTGAGTTACTATAGTTGGTTATTCTGCTTCCAGTCATTCCCTTCTTAAATTCATTCTTCTCACTGCAAAAATAATTTTCCTAAGGCACAGCCCTAAATATGTCACTCCCTTGCTCGGCAACCTTGAGTAGGCTCCCTATTTAGCCTCTAAGATAAATTACAAATTCTTCAACCTGGCTTTAAAGCCTCTCGACAATCTTGACTCCAATCTATCTTGTATACTTATTGCACAAGCTGTTCCCTGTGATTGGAATGAATGCTAATTAAGACATTCAGAATCCTTATCTTCCTTCAAAGAATAGAACATCTCAGGTGCTCCCCCCACTTTTTTTTAAAGAAAAAACTTGTTTCATCTCCTAGTGAAAAGTTGCAATCTCTCAAGTAATTCATAAAGTACTTTGTCTAGCCTTCTCCTCTATCCCCCAGTTACATACTTTGTACTATACTTTTCTGTGTAAATATCAACACATCACACTCACACCCACCCCACCCCACTTGCATGAATTGCTTCTTTTGGTTTTTAATGCCAGGTCCAATCATAGCTTTTTGCTCATAATAGATGTTTAAAGTTTATAAAGCTAAATAATACCTCTTCCCCCACAAAAGGGGAGGGAGTGTGGGTGAAGATAAAAGTTTTGAGGGACATTGGAAATAGCAGTAAGAGTTCCAGTTTTTAAAAAATTTCAGCAAAGTAAGAGATGAGGTCTGATGATAAGGCTGAGGATGGGAGATTGAGCAAAGAGAGGAATTAGAATAGATACTATATGGACTGGGATAGGGACTGTGATAAGAGATGAATAAAAAGGTTGCCAAGTAGAAGTAAGGATCCCAGATGATTGTTAAGAAGCAATAATTTATTAGGGATGAAATGAACTTTGGCTTCATCCTTTTTTTCCCCCAACAGTGCTTGGCAGCTCAGAAGCAGAAAAAGCTGATGGGAGGTTTACACATTGTAAACCACTGGCTTTCTAATACCAACCAGTTTCTTCTGAGTTGGGATGACATGAATAGCAAAGAATCTGCCCACCAGAGTTTCATTTTGGCAGAATTAGGAGACCAAACTTTGGAATCCTTCTCAACTACCTGAAGAGTCCTTAAATGGAAGGGTGTTAGAGCAACTCAGGTCTGGGGACCTCCTCTCCTTCATAATGACTGTCCCAGTTAGTACCTTTAGGACAGAAGGATCCAGGAATTCTGCTTGGAGAATAGAAAGGATGAAAATTCACTTTGTGCAAAGATCAGAGTTATAGAAAGCTGCTTCTTGGCAGTAGATTAGCAGTCGGAAAAATGGCTTTAGGTTCACAAGTTGGCAGAAAAAAAACATTTTTGGCCGATTATAGTATAATGAATGGTACATTTGCCTAGAGCTTTGTAGTTCACAAAGTAGCCTCACATATATTATCTCACTTCATCCACAATTCTGTAAGGTAGTTATAGCAGACGTTGTTCCCATTTTTTTACATTAGAGGGAACTGTGAACCCAAATAAAATTTTTGACTTGCTCTAGTCACAGAAATAGTGGTGGCAATACTAAGACTAGAATCAAGGCCTTCCAACTCCCTGTCAAGTCTTCTTTCCCCTACATTACACCAACACCATAGAAATAAGTAGAAAAGGCAGGCTTCCTCTGTAACCTCATAGGGAATAGGATCAATATGTCTAACAACTCCCAAAAGAGAGAATCAGATATCTGGTTATACTTTATTATTCCTAGGGTTACCAGCCTCTACCTAGATAGCTATCACAAGACATCATGGATTTGGAGCTGAAAAGGACCTTAGAGGCTAACACCCTCATTTGACCGACAAGAAAACCAAGGCTTAGCGAAGTTAAGTGACTTGCCCAGGGGCACTCAGCTAGTAATAGAGGAGTTGAACCTAAATCTTCCTGGCACCAAGTCCGGTACTCTATCACTATATCACATAAGCAAATTGAGGCCCAAAATCACATAGCTATTAAGAGGCCAGGATCCAGGATTTAAAACCAGGTCTTCTAACTCCAAACCCAGTACTCTCAACTGAACCACAATACCTCTATAAGCATGTGGTCCCCTTACCTGAAATCTCCAGAAGGACTCCAGCTTCTGCCTGCTGCTTCCCAACTGTCACAGTACAGTAGTAAGAGCCCATATCTGCCATAGACACACGATGGAGCAGAAGGGAAGCATTACCCTTCCGTAGGCCCTCTGCACTTTCTGGTAGCTCTGTGCCCGGACGCTGGGTCACCAAGATCCCATCATACTCTGCCAAGCGCCACTGGCCATGGTGCCAGGACACAGTGGGAGTTGGCATATCCTTACCCACTGCAGGGAAAATGCACTGCAGGAGCACATCTGACCCTAGGGAGACCAGCACCGGAGAAGGGTCCATGGAAATGTGGAAGGCAGCTGGATCAGGAAAAGAAACTCACCACGTGTAAAGCAGAGATTCAATGCCAGGGAATCCCTAGACCTCCTTCCCAAGTGTGCTTTTAAAACATCTGACAGAGGGAAGTGAAGTCACAAAGTATACCTTCAAAAGTTAGCACTATTCCCCCATGCTCCCTACTGAGATCAGTCTCCCATGGAATCACAGAATGTCAGACCTGGAAGGAATCTTGGACATCATTTATCCAATTTCCTCACTTGGAGGCCAATCTGACCAAAGTGCCACTGCCAGTTAAATGGCCAAAGCTAGGACTTGCACTCAGGCCTGCTTTTTCTGGCTGCCTTTCCCCACCACCATACAGACACTCACTGCCTCCCCTGCTGGCAAACACCGTGGCCTCCAGGGCAGGCAGAGTTCACGTCCCCGAGGCAGTCTTCCTCCAACTCACCAGCTCCCCCAAGGCAGAACCACTGAGTCCACTCCATGCTGGGAGGGCGAGGCTGGACGCCCCGCACACACCTCCCCTAACTCAGGCCCGGCTCCTTCGACCGCTGCCCTTCCACTTGGACCCCGGCCAGAGCACAGCCCGGGCAGGCGGGGAGAGGGTCAGGGGGCGAGGGGACCGCCCCCGCTCCGAGCTGAGGCTGAGGCCGCGGGGGCGGAGACACGGGGACGCTCCTCCGCCCGAGACCTCGCACGCCCACTCGGCTCCCCCCGCCTGTAACGTCGCCGACTCGCGCCGCGGAAGCTTTCCCGCCGTACCCACCCCCAATCTGCCGCCGCCGTCGTCGCCCCAGCCACAAGCTGAGGAGCGGAAAACATCCATCCGGAACGCCCAGGGAAGCGCGCTGCGCACGCGCCTTTCTTCCCGAGGAGGGGGCGGAGCCACGGGTGAAGGTTCCCGTCGTATAGGGGAGTAGAGAAAGGCCGCGCCTGCTGATTGGCTGCGAGGCCCAGGCGGCAGTAACATAAAAGGTAGGTTCCCGGTGTGAATTCACGAGAAGGGTCCAGGCAAGTGTTGCTTAAGGATGGCGTGTCAGTGCGGCCGACTTTGTCAGATCATAGTTTCTGCCGTAATTCCCTTCCCCGTATAGGATCACCCCAGCTTCTTGTTACCATGTCTTACACCACTTGGCCTCATAAAACCGGCCCAATCACTCTTTATTTTTTATTATTTTTTTTGCTGCTGTTCCTCTTCTTTTGTGGTTGGTATATCTATATCCGAATCCACATCCGGAGGATTCTAGCAGAAGGCTGGAATAACCAAGATGGCTACAGCTGCCAAAGACGACGCGGAGTCCATCCTCCCCAAAATCAACAGGTCTGCGGGATAGCCCTAGCCCAGGTGAGAAAGAGCAAAGGTCAGGGGGAGGGGGTCTCCAAGGGCAGCATTCAAAGGATATAATTGCCCAGAGCAGAAGTGTTTCCTAAAATAAATCTGGCATTTGCCATTGGCCTGTAACTTAATGCTTATTTTCTACAACACAGAGACAAGGAGTTTGAAGCACTTTGTTAACTTGTTCAAAAGAATCTAGTCCACCCCCTCAAACCACAAAGCTTTCATCTATTCACTAGATTTTTCCTCAGCTTTTACCCACTACTGATGCCACTTAACCATTCTTATCCTCCCTGCTGCTCCCTAGGCCTGAATCAGGGAAAAGTGTGTTCACCCAAATCCAAACTGGCCATTTCTCTTGGAGACCTACTGGAAAGCAGCAGCAGAGCTGATTTGTTTCCTGGGACCTATCTGCTGACATGGATCCATGATTAATTGTTGCCGTGACTACACTTGAAATGGGCATCATGCTGACTTATAAGATGATCAGTGAAATCTGTGATACTTCCAACACTAAAGAAGTTACTCTGGTTTAACAAGTAATTTACAGATTGAACATGTTCCTTGGTTTTACTTAAGAAAAAACCAAGACTGACTATTCTATCCTGTGAGCTACACATAGTAGGTATTAATGATCACCCTATCTTGGAAGACTGGTTTTCCAATCAACCTCTAGCTATAAGGTCTTGTGGCATTCTTGCCATTACAGTGTCTCCCTCTACTCCTGCCAGATGTAAGCCTGTTTTCTTTAGTACCAGCCTGTCCAAAGGATTCACTAAGCTACATGGAAAAGTGTACCATTGCAAAATCAGAGCTGGAAGATACTAAATGATCATCTACTCCAACAGCTTAGCATCTCAAAGTAGTCAGCAGCATCTCTTAAGAGGTGGTTGGTCCAGTGACCTAGATTTGAATTGTGCCTAGGACACTTGATAGCTGTGGCCATGGGCAAACATATCCCTAAAGTAACCTGAGTTTCTTTTATTTTATATAAGGTTAAACGAAAAACACTTGTTTATCTGATTATATAAACATCAATTATGCAGTTTCTACTTTAAATTATGGGGAGGTTACAAATGAGACAACCTAATTTATTTGAGGATAATTTCGTTAAGTTCTTTCTTGTAACTTCTGTCCATTCTAATTTAATGCCTGTTCTGCATTAGTCTTCCTTGTATTTGGGAACGGATCATTCCCCATACCTCCCTTCTCTCTCATCTTCTCCAGCCTAATCTTTTTTTTTTTTTTGAGTGAGACAATTGGGGTTAAGTGACTTGCCCAGTACCACACAGCTAGCGAGTGTTATGTGAACTCAGGTCCTCCTGACTTCAGGGCCAGTGCTCTATCCACTGTGCCACCTAGCTGCCCCTCAGCCTAATCTTTAGGTCAGCTTTTCATGTGTCCTGCTGGAGCCTCCAATGAGACCCTTGAGTTACTTCTCACTGTCTATGTGATAGATTTGCAGCTCCACTCTGGACATTTGTAGCCCTGCACCATCTAGACCTAACCGACATTGCCAGTCTTCTCTTAAGACTATTGCCCTTTATACAATAAACCAGAATACACTATGGGCTTGAACTGCTTTGATGCTTAGGCTCAGACTGTTTCCTCCATCAAGAATGGCCTCTAACTTCCACCTAAACAGTGTGATGTACTGGCAATAGCATTTAACCTCAGGACATCTGAGTTGTATAATCTTAGTTTCAATACTTATGGCTAACCACAGAGTATCTTAGTTTGTTTTGCTAATCAGTAAAATGGGGAGGATACTTGTGCTACTTACCTTCATGATATTTCTGTAAGGAAATGTATGCACCAATAAAACTGTTCCTACATTTTTGGCCTTCAGAGAAAAATAGATTTCATGTGGAAATCCTTCAAGGCTCAGTTAAACCACTCCTCCGGAAAGCCTTCCCCACATCCCACCAACCCCATCTTTTCAAAGGTCACTTTAAGACCAAATGGTTCTGCGGACACTATCTGACACATAATCTAGCCAAACAGTTCAGCCATTTAAATTTGATATAACTATAAAAAAAAATCCTTGTTATCTTTAAGGCCCAGTTCAAATGCCACCTCTTCCATGAAGCCCTTCAGTGGCCCTTCTCAGCTAGAAGTGATCTTTCCCTCTTCTGAATTCCTACTGGGCCAATTCTACTCAGATAACTGGTTTCTACCCATATCTTGACCAGCCAAGACGATGGCCCAAACTATCTAATTCATTTTTGTTTCCTCAGCACCTATGTGCAGGGGCTCGCATATGGCTACGTGTTTGACCAGTATTTACAATGGAAGGGACTTCAGAGGCATAGTCAATGTGGCTATTTTACAGATGGGGAAAATGAAACCAAAAGAGATTAAGTGGCTTTCTCATGGGAGTAATACACAGCTAAGAGGCAGGACCAAGACTGAACTCTAGTTTCCTGACTCCAAGTCCAGTGCCCTGTTAGGAAATAACTCAAGGGTCCCATTGGAGGCTCCAGCAGGATGGTCAGCAGACCCTGGAAAGTAGATCAAGCCAAACTTAGCTCCAAAGAAAAGATCTGAGAATGTTAGTGGGGAGGGAACTATGGGTGTGCAATTCCGCATACGAGGGCAGACTTGGTTCACAGATTTAATTTTGCACAGTGTTGTGGTTTTTTTTAATCCTTTATTATGAGGGGGTTCTTTGAGAGGGTGAGGTATATACTGGGAAATGAGAGGTCAGGGATCCTCACAGGATGATAACCAGCCTGATAAGGTAGACCAGAGTTCCCCTCATCCCCTGCTCTGCAGAGCCATAGATTATTTGATTTTGGATGCATCATCAGAAAGAAGGGAATGCTCATTATTGACTAGTAACTTCTGCATGCTCTAGTCCTATGGTCCAGAGCTCTTAAGTCAAGCTAAAGCCTAGCATTATGCCATTCAGGAACGGGGCCATTAAATGACCAAAATTAAGAGAAGCAGGTATAAGAATGAGAAGCAACGTGTACGGCAGGGTCCCTTCTACTTTTATAACTAATGGAAGAAAGCTCTAAGGAGGGACACCTTGAAGAGGCAGAACTATGCTATGTTCTATACCTACCCCACTTCCTCACCTTGCAACCCTCTGTGGATACCTGTGACACAGATGCATATTCCAAGACCAGTTAGCTTCCACCTAATCTCAGGATGACACTCACCAATTCTTCGAATTATTGCATGGAACAAAAGGTCCCAGTCACATTTCACCTTCTCCTAACCTCTCCAGCCCACAGAGTTCCCCTTCCACTTCCTGATCTCTCATAAGGATTATATGTACATACTAATCACCTCCCAGGCAAAATCACAGGCAGAGAATGTGTCACTTGTATATCACACCAGAACCGTTTAGGCACACAGCCACAGCAGCTACCACTTAGTGTTTGATGAACCGACTTGAAATATATACAGAGATAGAGACTATTCTTTCAACGAACATTAATGCTAATGACCCAAACATAGTTAAATTGGCCAGCACCAAGCAAGCATCTAGAAGACTAAATTACTTTCTTCCCATTGAAGGGTTTGCTCTTCACAAATTCCCTGGAGTTCAGTATACACAAAGACCAATGCTCTCCTTTGGTTTACCCACACCCCAACATGATCCTGACCCATGCCTCCTTTGAGACAGTACAGCCCCGAATAGCTTGCCAGCTTGTGGCCCTTCCCTCAGGGGGCCTAGTCCATGGACGTTCCGGTCCCATGCCTGAACCACTAGTCAGTGACTTTACCCAAGTTCACAGACGAACTCCACCCCAGTGAACACAATCCATACTGTTTATGCTTGCACTGCTCACTTCCAGAACCGTGTCAAGACAATATAAACTTTTAATCACTGTGCATGGAAGTTACATTTCAGGGGTAGCATGCTCTGAGGAGATCAGTAGGAAGTCTGTGACTGCTGTTGCCGGTAGCCTCCCCGACGCATGTAGCCTCCCTCATTTTTTCGGTAGCCATCTTTCTGATCTGGAGGGGGAAAAGAGAAAGGTCAAAATAGAAAGGAAAAAACTGAACAGTGATCCAGAGACAAGACAGCGAATAGGACTGGGAGGGTAAAGGGTGGAAGATAAGGGAGGAGTCTCACCTCTAAAATAACCTCCATAGGTCCCCTGCTTATGGTCAAAGACACGCTCATTGTTTTCCACCAAACTACCCAGTTTTTCTGCCAGCTGCAGGGCCAGGTTCTGCTGGGCAGTGGGCTCAGTGCGGTGCATCACCACTGTCTGTGTTGGCTGGTCCAGAGAGGCCTTAGTTTGGGGAGCACAGAGGGAAATGGATGGGATTAGTCTTGCCCTTACTCTGGTTTCTTTCCTCTGAAAAGAACTGCTGGCCCCTCCCTCAAGGATCTACCACCCTCTTTCCCTCTTTACCATAAGCTCCTCACTAATGATCATTTTGCTGATTAT